ACTCGAGCATGTGCTCAAACTCACGTTTGGCTGTGGCCAGCTTGTCTGGTGCTAAACGACGAGGACGCGATGACACAGGGTTTTCGGTGGTGAGAATCTTGTGTGTGACCTCGTGGAAAAGCTGAAGGTTGGAATAAGTCTTTGTATTCCTTGATCAGGGCATCATATGGGCCAGCTAAATCGGGGGTGAGGACCTTGATTGCAGGACGCTTTAAACAGCACTGGATTCCAGCGATGCTCAAATTGGTTGCTTGGTCCACCAGTCTGCGACCTTTCACGTCTACTAGAGGACCAGTGTGAGAAAATCAACCCCTAGGATAGCAGTTTGTACATCGGTTACTAAAAATACCCGACGAAACGTGCGTCTAAGACCTAGGTCAAGCGTCATGGAACGAAGGCCATAAGTGAGGATTCGAGACCCGTTTGCCGCACGAAGTGTAACAGCCGTGGTTGAGTGACGTTCCTTAGATGAAGACGGTAAGACGCTAACTTCAGCACCAGTATCGACTAAGAAACACTTGTGGGTCAGGTTATCCATAAGTGAAAAAGGCGACTTACGTTGGGGCCAAGAACAGTTGTCGCCGTTACTGTCTGGCCTTGTCGTTTCCCTGTTGACGATGGAAGTTACGGGGTTTGACACAATTACGTGCCTTTGAGCCAAGCTTTCGATGGTATCGGCAGATCCATGTAGACTCGTCACGGTTGTAGAATGAACGTGAACGTGTAGGATGGGAGTGTGAAGTTGAGCGAGAGCGGTGAGTTAGTTTGGCGAAAATTTGGGAGATCTGTAGAGAAAGTTCTGAAATTTGTTGCTTCAGGTATTCAACGTCGGCCTGTGTGTTTGAAGTCATGGCTACTGATTGCATTGAAGGAGAAGGCTTAGTACCGTAGCATGAAAACACTTGGTCAGTCAATTCGGCCAATTTTAGCAGCGTTATGTCTTTGTCAACAACCGACAAGACCTTCCTTATATCCCCAGGGAGGTTTTGCAACCTTGCATCCTTGAGGATGTTCTCATTTACCGCCTGCGTTCCTTGTAGCTGTGTCATATGTCGGAGTAGTTGAGCGGGGGTACGATCACCTAGTTCCACGCCGGCAAGTAAAACACGGAGGTTCTGTTCATCGGTGGCTGCTGTTCTCTTAATCAAAGCATCTTTTAGTACATCGTATGGGTTTACATCGGGTTTCTCGTAGATNAATGAATATCGTATATTTTCGTATATCGCGGGCGTACTATATATCGCATCGTAAAACAAAGGCATATAAAAATACACTAAACAGAATGAATAGAATAGAGTCAATGTTCACCACAGTCCACCAGTCTGCGACCTTTCACGTCTACTAGAAGCCCAAAGTGTGTGAGAAAATCAGCCCCTAGGATAGCAGTTTGTACATCGGCTATTAAAAATACCCAACGAAACGTGCGTCCAAGACCTAGGTTAAGCGTCATGGAACCATGGCCATAATTTAGGATTCAAGAATTGTTTGCCGCACGAAGTGTAAGAGACGTGGTTGAGTGACGTTCCTTGGATGAAGACGGTAAGACGCTGACTTCAGCACCAGTATCGACTAAGAAACGCTTGTGAGTCAGGTTATCTATAACGTGAAAAAGGCGACTTACGTTGGGGCCACGAACAGTTGTCGCTGTTAATGTCTGGCCTTGTCGTTTCCCTGTTGACGATGGAAGTTACAGGGTTTGACACAATTACGTGAATTTGAGCCAAACTTTCGATGGTATCGGCAGATCCATGTAGACTCGTCACGCTTGTAGAATGAACGTGAACGTGTGGGAGGAGAGCGTGAAGTTGAGCGAGAGCGGTGAGTTAGTTTGGCAGAAATTTGTGAGATCTGTAGAGAACGTTCTGGAACTTGTTGCTTCAGGGCTTCAACGTCGGTCTATGTGTTTGCAATCATGGCTACTGATTGCACTGAAGAAGAGGGCTTAGTACCGTAGCATGAAAACATATGGTTAGCCAATTCGGCCGATTTTGGCAGCGTTGTCTTTGACAGCAACCGACAAGACTTTCCTTATATCTCCAGAGAGGCCTTGCAACCACAACTCCTTGAGGCTGCTCTCATTTGCCGCCTGCTTTCTTTGTAGCTGTGTCATATGTCGGAGTGGTTGAGCGGGGTACGATCACCTAGTTCCACGCCGGCAAGTAAAACACGGAGGTTCTGTTCATCGGTGGCTGCTGTTCTCTTAATCAAAGCATCTTTTGGTGCATCGTATGGGTTTACATCGGGTTTCTCGTAGACGATGTCAGCAATTTCGACGGCGATTTCAGCTGGGAGATGTGCGACAACGCAATTATACTTGGTTTGTTGTGATCTAACGCGACCGCACTCAAAAATTGCCTCTACCTGAGCAAACCACAGTCTAAGGTGATGAATACCGTAAGCTGGTAGTCTTAAACTCAAAATATCTTGCGAGTCCATAGGTGAATCTTTTGAATCAGACATGATAGTAATGAGAAAAAAGAAAACGGGAGTTCTAGGTGATATAAGGAAGAGAAACAAAATTTGGGCTCACCAATTATGTAGTGGATAACCCTAGCAAAGTTCAAAGTAAAGTAGTTAAATCAAGTGAGTTAAATTAGGCGAGATTTTACAACTCATAGTTCATTGGTACAGTTAGGAATTACCACCACAATAAATCCAAATTGATCTCCTTCCTGGGATCTTCCTTAATATGTTCCTAGATACTTTCCATTCCGTCGTAGTCTGAAAGGTAGATCACCGCTCGTTAATTCGCCGACAGCGTAACTCGACACAGCAAGAAGGGAACACGCCTTTCACGAGGTACAGAATTTGTATTGTGTTGTATTTATTTGCTTTCATTTAAACAAAAAGTATTCGGCATGAAGAGAAGAGGAATAAGCTGAGATTTTAGTGAGAGATAGAAAGTGGCACAATTTGAGTAATGATAAGTTACAAAGAAAGTCCTAATGTACAACGGTCAGAAGGATCACCATAACGTAGATCAGAAACGGGAGTGGTCTCAGGACGGAGCCTTGAGGAAATCCAATGGAGACCGGCGCTGGAGCAGAGTAGGTCGAGCCTCTTCTCACTCAGGATGACCTATCCGATAGGAACGCCTTGATCCTGCGAATGATTTTCCATTGAATCACGTAAGACTCGAGTTTGTGGAGCGGCGGGCCGTGTGGGACCCTATTAAATGCTTTTGAGAAGTCGAAAAATATGACATCCGATATGAGTCCTTCGTCCTTGGCTCGGGGTAAGCTGTACAAAACACGAGCATATTTGTCACGCATGAGCGGTTTTGGGGAAATCAGTGTCTAGCTGAAGATATCCGATTGCTGGAAAGAGCAGTGCTACACCCTTTTTTAATCTGTGCCTTTCAGGTGAACGACAGACGCTGGACGACAAGAACAAAACCCACCCGAGAAACTTGGGCAAAAGCCTCGATCCTGTGTATCAATCAGTGAATCCGTGAACCCGTGAGTCCTATCAGTTGGTCTCGTGCACTGTGACCTGGGCTGGCCTGAAAGCCTGTCGTGAAAACTAGCGCGCAAACCAGTTTACGTAGCGCACACTACTGCAATGACGGATCAGGCTCAGGGCGTGAGTCGGCTCGTCAGCCATCCATTTAACCATTAATTTGGGTTTCTAATACTGATACTTTTCTAGGAGGACATTCTTAATTTCGAAGTCAAGAAAAAGAAAAAGAATAAAGCTTTGGCTGACATAACAGCCGTTGACACCGGGGATTCGGAAAATCCTCTGGATTTCGGAGCTAAAAAGAAGAAGAAAGCCAAGCCACTTGATATCCCTGACGCCGTTGTTGCTGAAACAGGGGAGAACGATGTTAGTTTATCTTTATCCATGCTGACATTTTTAGCCTCTAATTGACGAACTGAAATTAAAGAAGAAAAAGAAGATCGCCATCAATGAGGAGAACATCGATGAACTCGCTGAAAAACTGGACGACGAGTTGTCTTTTGGGGGAAAGAAGAAGAAGAAAAAGCCGAAAACGGTGGACCCTGAGGGTGGGCTTGATACTTGGGAGCCCGATACTCTAGTGAAAGAAAACGTTGACGCCTCAGGATTTACTTATGAAATGGTGAGGGTTTTGTTTGATTTTCAAATCACCCAGTTTTATCACTATCCCAGTGTACACATGCTGGTAGGGTCTGCGTTTCACACGTGAAGCCATATGGTCGTGCTACTGACAGTTGAAATGATGGCGCTCCCATTCACCGGTTAGTATGCAGAAGTATGTTCGGAACAGTCCCACATATCTGCAGTAGGTGAATCAAGTTTACGAATCCTCGCGTTACGGAACGAAGCTTATACATATGGTCAAGGTTGTAACTAACGGGATATTTCGGGTGCAGTGTGGGGGCGAGATGGCTCAGTGGTCGGAGCGCGAATTTGCTAACCGGAAGGTCCGTGGTTCTAATCCGACCTCTGCCTTTTGACTTCCCCTGTCTAGGCTTAGGCACCCTCGCAGTATCCCAGCCCTCGTGCTTCCTTCTGGTGGCTTGGCAGCTAGGCCCCGGAAGGGTGCTACTGGTGGATGACTATTATTTAGTGTGGGTTAAAGTGCCCCATCATTCGGTCATTGCTCGACCTCTAACAGAGAATTGGATTTCGATCAGCACGGTTAGCTATCTGGGAACACCGCTCACGTGGTACTCGCTATCAGTCAAGGAATCTAAGAAAACCTGGCAAGCCGTGGCGGGTCGCACAACAGCTTAAAAAGGAGGAACAAAAATAGGATTTTTTTGAGTCTGGATTTCGTTCTTCAGATGCGGTATCCTTTTGCTGAGTGTCAAGAACTACGGTTTTGCTGCTCCATGTTTACTTTCGTCGCCAGCAGTGTGCACCTCACGAATAATCAGAGCTTCGAGTCCGCGCCTATTAGTTGAAGAGTAAATCGTTCGGCCACTAGTAGGAGGTGAGTACCGTCATTTAAGCAGGATAGGAGCGGAACCTAGTGCTACTAACTGGCAACTCCACGCATGCCGTTTTAGCATGAACACAATGTCAAGGTCTGTTGCACCTCATACATGGGACGACGCGTGAAGCTGCCCGTCTCTGTAGGGGTCCCGATTCACCACTGACGACAAACAGCTAAATTAGCATGCCAGCCGAATAATCATAGTGAAGCACAGTCATCATCATCATTGTCAGCTGTAATAACCGCGTACTCGTCGTACAATGGTTGTAGATGCCGCAGTTTCGTTCACCGATGTTTTTTTTTTTGGGGGGGGGGATAGGTACAGGGGGCTGTCAAGTGGAGGTCGTTGCTTAAGCTGGTTTTCTTGATGCTTAATACAAAAAACTGATTGCCTCTTGTTGAAGAAATCAAGATTGCATGTCTCAGCACAGC